CAGGTGCATGTTCAATTACAGTGCATTGATAGTGTATGTACTGACAAAGCAAAATAAACCACTACTAATAAAATTGAATTTTAACAAATACACCCTCTCACACACACACACACATGTACATGTACATACATCAGATACAATGAGTCATCATTATTATATATACTTATACTTAAATGATATACCTTAAGCCTACTATTATTTGCGCCTACTAATATTAGCGAAATCAGCAAAAGTCATGTTTAGCGTTACTAATTTTAGCATTTTTAACCAAATTAACTATAAATAATAACCATTATAATGAATAATAATTATTTTGGCGTCTATTTAATTTAGCGATTTAAAGCTCTCTCGCTAATATAGCTAAATTTAGTAGACGCTAAAAATAGTAGGCTTAAGGTAATCATTCTCACTTTCAATACATGTGTGATGCTAGTACTGAGTCAGTGAATGAGCTCATTATTCATACACAATATAAAGTACATGATATATTATTATTACATTAAGAGCATATTATACACATTTTCTGATACATATTGATGTACTTATGCTGTGTAGAAAGTTTGAGCTGATTCCGACTCCAATTTTTCAAGTTATGGCCACTTTTAAAAACAGCCAATTTCTGAAAAATACCCAAGGCTATAGCCCATGGTTTTTTCTGAAAAATGGCTCCGAAATCATCCCAAATTTTCATGAAATTTTCTGATACACATTGATGTACTTATGCTGTGTAGAAAGTTTGAGCTGATTCCGACTTCAATTTTTCGAGTTATGGCCATTTTTAAAAATGGCCAATTTTTGAAAAATACCCAAAGCTATAGCCCATGGTTTTTTCTGAAAAATGGCTCCAAAATCATCCCAAATTTTTATTACATTTTCTGATACATATTGATGTCCTTATACTGTGTAGAAAGTTTGAGCTGATTCCGACTTCAATTTTTCGAGTTATGGCCATTTTTAAAAACGGCCAATTTTTGAAAAATACCCAAGGCTATAGCCCATGGTTTTTTCCAAAAATGGCTCCGAAATCACTCCAAATTTTCATGAAATTTTCTGATACACATTGATGTACTTATGCTGTGTAGAAAGTTTGAGCTGATTCCGACTTCAATTTTTCGAGTTATGGCCGTTTTTTAAAAAATGGCAAATTTTTGAAAAATACCCAAGGCTATAGCCCATGGTTTTTTCCAAAAAATGGCTCCAAAATGACCCCAAATTTTTATCACATTTTCTGATGCATATTGATGTCCTTATGGTGTGTGCTGATGTGTATCTAAGTACTGGAGTAGTTCATGTACTGTAGTGTTGGGTGTAGTAATGAGAATCTGATACCTTTTGATGTGTAGAACTGAGAGACACAAACTGAACTCATACCAATGTACACACACACTAAATCATGACACTCATTAACACTATACACTACAATACAGTAGCCTATTACATATAATTTATGCTGTGTGTATAGTGTATATCATGACCTAGTTTGGAGCCTATCCTCTTCAAAAAGGTCACATGAATAATAATAATAATAATAATAATAATAATAATAATAATAATGATGATGATGATGATGATAATAATGATAATAATACGTTAGCTATATAAGTTTACTTCCTGTAGTCATGTCATGTGTAAATCAACTCTTACTTTTGATATTCAAGTTATTAAAGTGTGTGCATTAATAAACATACAGCACAACATGCAACACAATATGTACTGGATACATGCAGCTAGTTCACATATGGTAATAGAAACAAATTCAATGATTGACTAATTATTATTGCTGAGCTTTCTAATAACTATATTTCATGATATTCTATATACTATACACATAGATCTATGCTGATACACCCATTTTTAATTAATATACATAGTTGCAACTACCTGCTAGACCATAGATACTCATTTACTATATTTCGATGTACAAGAAACTTGTCCATTATTTAATAGAAACTTTAAATTAAAGAAGTCTATTTAGTTGTAATAAGTATATAGTAGTAATGTAATAAATCTAATACATGTATGGTGATCGATCCATAGCATAATTTATTATTTATCAGCTATAATTTTAGCTAAGTGAAATTCAATTATATTTGGTGAAATGACCAAATTTGGTCATAATAACTGGAACTACAGTAATAGCAGTAGTAGAGTAACACTATGAACAGTTATTACATGAGACAATGAGCAACATTTAACGATTGCTTAGTTATACACAAAGGAATATGTGTGGCATATATAATCATGTATTGTAACTGTAAAAATACAATTTTAACATAAATACATGATGAAATAGTGAGAACACTCTACAATGTTGAGAGCACAGTTGTTGACAATAGACCTGTTATATAAACTCTTACTACAAAAATGTGATACAATGATAATGCTTTTTACCTTGTCAATTGACAGTAATAACTATAAAACTAACAATCACATACTCCCTCCAGACACTCTCATGATATAGTGTTAATGATAGTAATCAGTTACCGTACAGATACATAGGAGTTAACAATGCCACATTATAGTTATCAGTAAATGTAAAATTATTGGACTTGTCACGCTTGCATAGGTGGGTACTAAGCATTCTATCTACAAAGTTCATTTCATCTGTGCACTATTTTGTCTTGTGATTATGTACTTCAGTTGTATGCCAATGTACAATACTATAGTGCCATTCAATCATTTTAACTAAATGAAATACAATAGTGTGAAATGACCAAAAATTGAGTCATAATAACTGGAACTACAGTAACAGCAGTAGTAGAGGAACACATGTACATGTGACTATAATTCAATGGAATATAATTCAATGGAATATAATTCAATGGTAGTTCATTTCAGATATACTCCCACTTCAAGTTACTATTAATTGATTATTTGATGCATGTACTTGCATACAACTGAAGTACACAATCACAAGACAAGATAGTGCTGGGTACAATGGAAATAATTTAATATTTACCAATGACCTTGATTATTGGTTGTAATGTGTAAATATTTTTAAATACTAAATTTATATGGATCGCTACTACTGATTGTTCATTTGTTTTAATGAGTCATTTATTGATCTACTGTCAAAAGATCATGTCATTGACACTATATTGGACATCCTCTTGTATATTGTATTTCACATAGAGAGACTGTATGAGAGAGAGAGAAATGAACTTCTATGAAATGACCAAATTTAGTCATAATAACTGGAACTACAGTAATAACAGTAGTAGAGTAACACTATGAACAGTTATTACATGTGACAATGAAGAATAAACTTTAACGATTGCTCAGTTACATGTAAAGGAACTTGTGTGGCATATGTTACTCATAATCATGTATTGTAATTGTAAAATACAATTTTAACATAAATACATGATGAAATAGTGAGAACACTCTACAATGGTGAGAGCACA